CAGACTGACCTCCTATGACTTGGACAATCTCTTCCGCTTCAGAGTCGGCCACAGAGGCTTGGAACTCGAGGAAGCAAGTCTCGCGAGCCGTCTCCAGCAGCTCTGGGAAGGATGATGATGGAGGACAAAGGTGTGACTCATTAGTCCACTGCTCGACGATATTCTCCCAATAGAACTCACGATCCATCACATCGTCCACGTTGCCCAACTTCGAGTTTTCAAGGTAAGCACCGCGTAGGCGCTCGAGTCCTTCCGACTCTTTCCGCTTGGCTTCGATGAGGGGATACAGCTCGTCCAGCTGTACCGGGGCAAAGTTTTCCGAAGCGTTAAAGAAGCAGTAACAAAGCCGATCTTCCAGTCCCTGCCCACACTCACTCGAGTTCTAGCTTTCAGCAATCTGTTCTGCAACAAGACCTTTGTGGCCTCCGTATTCCTAAACTCGGCGGTATCGTAGAATCCCTTGCTTTCCTCGAACTGTTCGTCCGGCGGCTCCTGCCAGCCGTTGAGCTGCTTATTTAGCTGCACATACAACGTCTGATCCGCTCCCACATCCACACTCCTTCTCTCTCCTTCCGCTTCCCCCCAAACATCTTTGAGACGAACGTGGAAATCTGCAGAGTGCTCGGAGGCGGAAGCTAGAGCGTCGACCATGCGGCTTGTAGAGAGCGTCCAAAGTGTTTGAAGATTCTGCCGCGAGAAAACTCAGCACGTAATGTAAATCTCCTTCTTTCAGCTTGATCATCCGATCGATGACGACTCACATCAGTCGTAGCGGGCAGAGACGCTCTGTAAAAAGCTGCCTTTGCCCGGTTGGCATTGGATACGCTTAACAGATATGCATTCTTTCGCGCTTCCATCGCTTCCTCTGCTTCCTGAAAGGCTCTTTGTGCTCGATCCGCATGCTTTCCCTCCGCTTCTGCCGAGACCTTCTTAGCACGTGCGCTTTCCAATTCCATGCAAGAATCGTCGTATTTGGCTTTTGCCTACGGGAAGGGAGGGAAGGATGCGTTTTGGGTCGGAGGAAGCAAACGACTGCGCGGAGTGATTGAAGAGCTACTCACACTGAGTCGGTCCTTGTACACTCGATCCCTCTCTGCTAACAATCTGCTCGCAAATGCAGCGTGCTTCTTGACTATCTCTGCTCTCTTCTTGGCTCCTCCGCCCAAATCTTGTCCCACGCCATCCAGCTGCTCTGCCAGTTCAGCAGCCGCATTCGCATGTTCGTCCGAGGCTCCGAGATATTTGTTGACACAAGCTAGCAAAGTGCTGCCGAGCGGTGAAAGATGCGAGGAACGTCAACGATGCGATACTCAGCTGGCAACGTTACCGATGAGATGGTGACCAGTGTCGCACGACACAGCATCCAGACTTGCTCTTCCCAGCCTCTACCCCTCAGGACAGCCTAGGCTGCCCTCGCACCTGCGCATATAGCTCACCTTTGTCTCAAAGCTTCACTCTGCTCCACTCTCGAGTTTGGTTCTGGTCCAGCGAAACACTCCACAGCTCTCCTCTCCACTTTCTCCCTAGACTTTTTCGTGATACTTTGCAGCTTGCCCGCATACTCCCTTTCCAGGTTGGCTCGTTCGGCCAAGAATGTGGATAGATCTGTGGCGAGCGAGATGTGGGAAGAGGAGATGGATAGAAGCGGATGAAGCGCATCTGGAAGAGAGGATCCGAAAGAGATGGACTCGGATTCTTGAGAAGACATGTTAAGCGGGGATTAATGATTGCGCTGAGTGCGAGCAAAGGCTTGGGATTCGGGGACTGCGCTTCGGGTGCGAGTCCATTTGCAATGGATCAGAATGTTGCCCAGCCAAAGCAGATCACTTCCATGCGGCGAGGTGGTTGCATTCGTAATCCGAATGTGAAGATTGTTGCAGCTGTGAGGAGCAACGGGATGGTGAAGCAAGGCAGCATTGCGTTGATCATGCCAAGGAACGTTTGAGACTGCATGAATGCTGTAGCCATCAGCGTTCCTCCACCCGCGCACATCAGCAGCACCTGCGTGCGTGTGGCTGGCTGCACTGCCACCAATACGATACTCCCGCGAGTGATCCTTCGGCCGATGAGAGCCGACGACAGACAGAAGGAAGGCATGCTAGCTGCACACCAGTGACCACCAACACCACATCATCATCATCATCATCATCATCATTATCATTGTGCCCGACCACGCAACGCATCAAGACGACTTTTTCAGTCACAGCGACGCTCCATTATCCACCCAGACTCGTCCACCACCGACACGAATCGATCAGCCCACTTTCACACACCGCTCATCGTCGCCAGGGCACCGAACGAATCAAGA